AAAAAAAATAAGTAAAAAACCCTATTATGTGCTTGAACATGTACACATCTAAGCGTCTTTGTTTAGGTAGAAATAAATAAAGAAGGATTTCAAGTACGGATCCTCAACAAAAAACAAATAATGAAATAAGTGTGCAAGTTGTCACCTTACCTAAATAATTTCTTCTTCAATGTTGTGACTGCTATTAGACATGATTATGACATTTCTTGATGGAGGAAAAAGGGACAGCATTCAATTCTCCATATTAGTGATTTAGAATAATATTATTTGTATATATTTTGGAATCATAAACAATGGAATTAGATAAAATTATTTTCAGTTAACTCACAATCTCATTGAAGATAAAATATAAACAAAAAACTTCATTTAGACCAAAAAAAAAAGAGAGAGAGATTCAATATGATAGCAAACAGGTACATCAATGTCACAAGTTTATGTCACACCTCTACTTATATGAAAATTCTATCTTTAGTGAAAAGTATATATGTAATCTATCTGTGATAGAATTTATTAAATATAAATTATAAATTAAATATAAACATATATTCGGCCATCATTTTTTAAAAAATTATTTTTTTCAAGCTTATTTTCAAGCATAATTCTCTCAATAAAATAATTTTACACGTGTATCTATAATTTTTCCCAATTTTTTAACTAAATATTCGCTTAAAAATCATTTTTCAGAAAATCTGTATAAAAAAATCTCGACGAGATAAGGGCATAATTTCATATACTTTGCTCCTGTTTGTTCTTCATTTTTTGCAAAATTTACTTTCAATCACATATTTTATGGGATCTAAAACATTTACAATTTTTCAACCACACGTCTGATCATTTTTTATCAAAATTTACTAAAAAATTGATTTTATCCAAACCAAACAGGAGCTTTGTAACCATCTAGACTCTTAAACGAGAAGATCAAATGTCTACAATCACAAATCACCAACAATAATAGTTTATATGTTGCATTATTTTTGGTGCAATAGTTGGAGTTGATTTGTTAGACATGGTGTTGATGATTTCTATGAACAAAAAATGATATGGTCCAAAATTCATGAAGGAATTCTAATGCATGTTTTTCATTAATGTTCTTTGTCCTTCTGTGTCATGTCCCAATGTCCCATCTCAGTCTTTCATTGTTTGTTGCATGTCGATATTAGTGGATAAGATTGAATATGGAGCATATGCTTCATACTCTTTTTGGTAATTTTAAGCTAAACTATGCCCGGTTTGACATCCTTTACTTAATTCAATTTATTTTTCATATTCATTTTCAATCGTACAATAAAATATCCACACATAAACTCTAATTTTTTTTTTATACTTTTTAACTACACATTTTTAATAGATTCTACAACGTGAGATAATATTAATAAAAAAGAAAAAAAAATTAAAATCTCGCCCATTTTACTATTGAAAATACTTTAGATAATTGCTTATCGAATTCTTTTCATTGCTATTCGGTGTTGCAATGTGTCTCCCAACAAACAATCCATTATGGCATGCTTTGTGAGGTAGATTTGTATACCAATAGATACTTGATTTGATCGCCTTATCAATTTATTATGATAATTTATAGCACAGTTACTTGCCCCCTTTCTAGGTTTTTTTTTTTTTTTTTCATAAATGCATTTTTTTTTTCAAAATTCATTTTCAATCACACATTTCTTCATAATATAATGTTACACGTAAATTCAAAAAAATTCTTATTTTTTTAACCACGTATTTTTTGAAAAATTATTATTCCAAAACATATTTTCCCCTAAAATCTCATTTCAATGGTGCCCAATCTAGGTATGTGCACTAGATTTTTTTATATAATCATGCTACAAGTACATAATTGTTTGTCAGAAAATTCTTACAGACAACAGATGGTGAGACATCATTGGAAGATTGGAAAAAAGAAAAAAAAAAATAGTCCAATCACATTTTGCCACATCAACATATGTATACATTCTATTAATTTTTTCCTCTACTCTTGGCTTTATTGTTTTTTATAACCCCACGAAATGTATAAGTTCACACAGCTCATAAATTTGGCATTTGTCAGGCAGAGATGTACAACCAAAGATTTCAAATTAACTCTGATTTTCATTATTTTTTATTTCCATAACTAGAGTTCATTTGAAGCATTCTATCATTTGCAGAGATTTGCAGGATGAAATTGGGCAAATCCCCTTTTCTAAGCAAAATAATTTATTTTCGTTTCTAGTTTGGGGATCATTGAAGTATATCATGCATTACTTGCCTAATACTCACGGTATATTAGTGTCTTTACATACAACCATGTTCATTTGGAACGGTGCGTATTTGAAGAAGCGAAGGGAAAAGATTTTTATCACTTTCGATCTTAGGAAAGATGTCTTTTGGACTTTATTTGAAAGGTACTGAACAAAAGGAATCATGAGATATTGATCAACGTTTATGTCCCACTAACAGTTAGTCGATTAGGGATTTAGGGTTTACACGAACTCAGATTCGAACAAGAAAAGTACCTTCAAATTTTGTTTAGTACCCTCAATTAGAAACTTGATTTGTGATATAATAATGGAAATTTTAGTATATTAATTAATTAACTTAAAGTCATCAAATGTTTTGTGTAAGAATCCCAAAAAAAATGTGTGGCGCCGTTTATGTGCACGTAAGAAAGGTTTCTTATAACGGCAAGGTGTTTCTTTTTTTTAAGGGAAAACCCATTTGTACAAAAAAATTTTTTACAGATGTTTTACACCCACTCACACGAGTGGGGTCTACCGGAATAAAAAATGAAAAAAAAACCCCACCCACCCACCCCTTACATTGTGTGTATCTGGGGGTGTTCTGTAGAACCATGCTTCTGTACATGAAGCATGGTTCTTTTTTTAAACGGTTTGAAATTGTCACGAGTTCCACCACCTTCTAAGTTTGTTCTTTTCTAAATTTAGTATTGGTTGTCCGATCACCCCACATGCCCCATTGGGATTTTCTCAAATTTTTATTTTAAATTTTCACTAAAAATTTGAAAAACACAAATAAAAATAAAATAAAATTAGAGTTTGGATGGACAGGTCGAGACCTTGTTATATATTTTCTTCCTATGCCAATCTTGGACTCCCAACTATGTTGTGTGGAAATAGAAACACTATATGATACATAAAATTATTGTGTGTAAAATGAAAATATTTATATTTTTGAAATTTCCGTGCAATCGAGCTCTCCAACCCCATTCCCAAAAAAAAAAAAGGAGAAAGAAAGAAAGAAAACAATTTTCACGAGGCATGGCTTTTTTTCGGATTTACGTTGCTCTTCAAAAAATGATTTGAATCAAGATCCACCCCAGTATTGGTCATTTGATCAGCATCATGATATTGATCCATTACATTTCAATTTTATTGTTATTATTTTGTTTTAACACAATTTGCAATGGTGGATGAGCCTAATTTCACTTTTCTTAAAACTCTTGAAAACAAAAGCAATTTTCTCTTTAAATTATAGTGTTATTCCTCGTTCGATTTTTAATAAATTAGGAGCACTCCGTGTCTAGACATTTAAGTGGCTTCACTTTTTTTTTTTTTTTTTTAAAAGAAAGAACTTTCGATTATTTTACGTACTTGTTGCATTTTATTTAGAGAAAATAATAGCATTTTTTTAATACTTAACCCGACAATCACAAAATCGCTGGTTGGACAACATGAAAATATCGAATTCTATGTAATATTGTCTATAAAAATAGTATTGG